AAAACAGTAATGTATAATAATTAAAATAGTTATAGCGAGTGTACCTTAGGAGATAGACATATACTTGTAGAACTTTTCTATAGACCTTTTTAAGACTTACAATTTTCTTGCACAATGTTTTGATCTATCTCTTAAGGTTGAGCCAACGTTAGTCATATAAATTTCTAAGGACGATTCGATAGAACCAGTTATTGAGTTTTCCCGTGGGAATGAATAATTTGCCTGTCGTAAAAGGTATCCTAAATGTTGACCCGAGTACTAATTTATATATACAAAATTTAGTTAAATTCAGTTCAGTACTTTTTGCGTAAAACGCGCACATCGATTTGACTAAGTTAGTTTTATTATAGGTATAGATAAGAATAGATATTGCTTAGGAGATACACATAATCTATTCAGAACTTTCCTGTAGGACTTTTCAAGACCTACAATTTTTTAGTATATTGTTTTGATGTATGTATGTCTTAAGGTTAAGCCAGCGGAAGGTTTCTAGGGAGGACTCGATAAAACCAGTTATTGTATCTTCCCGTGAAACGCGCATACAAAAACAGACAAATAGACATACAGGCAAACAGACAAACAGACAATTTTTTTAATAACTATTGTTTTGGGGTCTATGTTGTGTACATAATACGTTACAAATAAACGAAAACATCTATCCCACGGGAACTGTATATTTTTCCTGGATAAAAAGTGACCTATTTGTTATTCTGATGTATGACCTATATTATTGTAAAGTTTCATCAAAATCCAATTAGTAGTTTTTGTGTACTAAGCTGAATAAGTTACTATAGTTTTTTGACTGTCCCACGGGAACCCTTTAATTTTCCGGGATTAAAAGTAGCCGATTTGTTATTGTCATGTATGAACTATATTATTGTAAAGTTTCATTAAAATCCAATCAGTAGTTTTTGTGTACTAAGCCGTATAAGTTGTTATAGTTTTTTAACTATCCCACGGGAACTATTTAATTTTCCGGGATGAAAAGTATCTAAGATGTTGCCCGGGGATATAAGGTACCACCATGCAAAATTTCATTTAAATCGGTCCAATAGATTCGGAGATTAGCCCGTACAAACAGGAAAACAGACAAACAGCTCGCTCGGGTTCGTCCATACCTACGAATATGTTGTATTATCTCTTTAACCATTTGTCCAAATTATATGCAGTAAAAGCGAAAAGTCTTTTGTTTTAAACATTTCAGACGATAAATTTACTTATTTTGATAAGAATTCATAATTATTGATAATATGACCAATAAACATGACCTACCGATTTAAATATTCTTTTTAATATAAAAAACTACTTTTTGTGACTTAAATATAAAAGTTAGACATATACTGTCGCTGACTTTTTTGTAGGCATTATTAAGCTGTACAACTTTTCTCTAGAACATAATCATATATCTCTAATTGTTATGGCAGCGTTCGTAAGAAACGTTTTCGTTCAACCGTTTTTTCTCCGACTTACTTTGCAAATCCGACTATCACGAAAAAGCCTTTTCATTCTTCGGGTTAATACATAGCCTGTGACACTCAGAAAGAACGTGGCTTTCTATTGGTAAAAGAATTTTGAAAATCGGTTCAGTAGATCCAGAGATTACCCCCTACAACGTCACAAACTCACAAACTCACAAACCCACAAACTCACAAACCCACAAACTCACAAACTCACAAGATCACAAACTTTACCTCTTTATAATATTAGTATAGATTTTCAGTATTATAATTTATAAACAATTCGTGACCAGTACACTACATGGTGGTACCGACATCTCTGTGCAAAAGCGCGGGTTAAAACAAATGAATATCCGCGCCCTTTTTATTTTTTTTTAAACACATTCCTATCGGCCGAGGTCACATAAGTAAATGCCTTATACATAAATCATTACAAATTAGTCAAATATATTATTTTCTATTAAAACACTCAATATATAAACATGCAACCTTACATTATCAATAAACAAACATTTGATTAATACCAAGCGTATGGGGAATTTTAAAAATTGTATTTGGCTCCATACCTACTTTGTGTAATGCAATCACAGCGATTTGGTTCTCTTTATCACCCCACTCCATTTTAATATCACAAAATATTTTATAATGTATTGGCGCGAAAATGAGAAAACACAATGATATATATATATATATATATATATATATATATATATATATATATATATAGATGTACATTTAGGTAGCCTGGTACATTTATGACATCCCTAATTAATCTATACATATAATAAAATCGTAACTAAGCCGAATCTGTACATTAAATAATTTTTGGAAAATCTTATTGAAATAGACATTATTATCGATACAAAGGCCGAATCTATTGTTTTTAGAATTTTTGTCTGTCTGTCTGTCTGTCTGTTACCGCATCACGGAAAAACCACTGGAGGGATTTTGATGAAATTTGGTATGGTGTTAGCTGGTTATACGGGTCAACATATAGGATACTTTTTACCGCGGGAAAATGGCTCATATCTGAAAAAAATAGAAAAAATGCAATGTAAAAGCATACTAATATGTAAAACCTAAGAATTTGGTTTTTAGTCATCTAAACGCGGGCGGAGCCGCAGGCAATGCTAGTAATTAATAATGGGCTACTGAGTACTGACGAATTTGTCTTCTGTCAATGAAACTAGCCATTTGCGCATGGGATTATTATAGTGCATGCTCTATCTTTTTCACTTTACCCTCTCAATTCCGATAGGATAACAATTGAACATGACCGGTGAGAGATCGGACGCAGGACTGATGCTTTACGTTTTTTGAAGTACAGTAGTTAACGCTGCCAGCTTTTCAACTTCGGAGTGTTACTGAAAATTACTTATCATAAAGTTCATTTACTTTTATAGGTACTTTCATTTTATAGGTACTATATTTGGCTCGACCTGTAACTCAAACTCAGCAGCTGCGGATTTGCAGCCATACCTATATACTCGTACAAACCAGTATAACAACTAGGCAGTTAATGACAGTTAAGCAGTTTATAGGTGACGATATTCGAGAAAGAATTATTTAAAATTCAAGACCTAAACGAAGAAAAAGGAGTTGCAAACAGGACACACAGACAAACACATAGGTACATATAATAGTAATAGTAGTAGTTTCGCATAAACATAGGTTTAATAGTCGGACTTACACCGCCGAGACACAGTAGTGTTAGTATCCTGGCTAAACTTATTATATCCGAAGATTCACTTACGAGAGGAACGAAAAAAAAAGATTATAAGAAATATAAAATTAATTTCGTTTCGTTCCTATATAGTCAGGTACCGTAAGTACCAGAAATAGCATGTTTATTCCGACGGTCATGAATCCTTGCAACATTAAACCGCAGTCGGTCAATAATACCTATAAGATAACTGTGGTAAAATAATTCGATAAGCATACATACAAGTACTTAAGTTCCTAGTTGATTTTCCATTGTTTGTATATTTATATATTTTTTTTGCATTTATCGGCGCAGCTCACTTTTTATAAAAATAACTTATAAAGGTCATATAGCATTTTATACATTTATAATTGGATACTTAATAATAATACCGAGGCGAAAATAAAAATTCACGTAGAATCGAACCTGTTTTATGTTTATCCAACATGCCATTGCGACATAATGGATTTAAAGAAAATAATCTTAATTAACCAACGTTAAATTCACTGTTTTAAAATTCAAAACCTATTGAAATTAAAAGATTATTTACTGAATAGAAAATTGAATTAAGTATTGATATTCAGTAGATCTTCGTTAATATTGCTTATTTCAATAAATGAAGGTCAAAATTTGTAGATGAGATTTACGATGAGCCATAAACTTGTTACAGCGTCTAGCTTTAAAAAGCCTGTTTCCAGGGGGTCTTTTGCAAATACCGGTGCCTATAGTTCTATAATAATGAAGACGGCAAAGGGGGGTTGCAGAAGTGGGGTGGCAGTCCGCGCATGCTCCATTCAGACTAGGAGATGGGGCGACCCTCGGTAACTTCAGTTTATAGCTGAGTTATTCAAGGCGAGTAGCCTTAGTCACATAAGAAGTTTTCAAAGTTTTAGGACCATAAAATCCTACATTTTCAAAAAGTAAGTAATTGTGCTCTTTATATTGTATTTCTTCAAATAATATTGTATTACCTCAGATAACGTGCGCCACATAAAATGAGCATTTTAATGATTGCTTGAAATTAACGTGTTCACATGTTATAATTGGCTAGAAGGACACGTATTTTGGTAGTCTATCGAAAGAGGAAATATCGTTATATATAGCCAATAGCCATAAATAAATATATGTATTAGTGATTTCCTATTTCAATTATATTTTTAACCGCGAATTGTTTTTGAATGGCGTCGACAAATCAATAAGAGACCATGTGGTGTTTGTTATACATTATTGTATATCAAAGAAATTAAAAAAAATCTAGATGATCTTATAAGACTATGTACTAAGAAAAATTTATATTGAAGTCTAGCTGGAAATAAAAATAAGATATTCTAATTACCTTAACGTCAAGGAGTTTCGACTTGTGGCGTCATAGCTAATAATTAGATTTAATTAACTGTCGTGCAATCTTAGCAATTCTTACGAAACGTACTATATTTATTTTCAGAGATGAAGCCGAACTTACTAAAGCCACATCATCTCCAAGAACTGCTTTTTAAGGATATTACATTGTGACGCACAATTTTGTAATTTCAATCAATATTGTTACTAATATTTTAAATACCATTTACTAATGATAATTAAAATAAAATTTGTTTAAGTAGATATCTTGCTGTAAAATTTTGTATGTTACATATTTTTATATGGAAAGATGATTTTGACTGTTTGAATTGAATAGAAAAGGATTTGTTACGGTGAAGATTAGTATTTAGGCAATCATTTTTAAAGCGAAGCTTATTTGTTAACTATATTTAGTTGCAAAAATTAGGTGCTAATAAATGTTAAATATGTAAAAAAATAGCCAATGCCGGGAAATTTTCAATAAAAGTCATCAAAAAGCAGAAATGGAACCGTATTCGGACGAATTATTTTGGCTGGTGATATGTGGTTTTGTGGTAGCTTTTATATTGGCGTTTGGTATCGGCGCTAATGATGTAGCAAACTCCTTCGGCACGAGCGTTGGTTCTAAAGTCCTCACACTAACACAAGCATGTATATTGGCAACAATTTTCGAGATCGCTGGAGCTGTTCTTATAGGTAGGAAAATGTTATTTTTTTAATTCATGATTTCTTATTTTCAAACTTTCTAGATTCTACTATATATATAAATATCCCAATACTTAAGATAATTAATTATTTTTAAAATTTGCTGGTACATTAATTAAGTTGTATGTTTGATAGGAATTAAAATCTTTATTTGATATAACACTTATATAATACAAAAAAACTTATTACATAAAGGATACAAGGTGTCAGACACAATGCGAAAGGGGATATTGGACGTGTCCTTATACGCGGATGGGGGTGAGAAGCTTCTGGCGGCGGGTTGTCTTGCTGCACTCATTGCTGGGGCGATATGGTTGATTCTGGCCACGGCGTTACGGCTCCCCGTTTCGGGGACTCACTCGGTGGTCGGAGCAACTGTTGGTTTTACATTAACTGCTAAAGGCCCCATCGGTGTGCGCTGGTCTACTCTTGGCGCGATTGGTAAGCAACAAATGAAAATCACATGGCCTTTGTTATTATTTAATAAGTTTTAAAATTTTGCTTGCATTTACTAGGTATAATATTTGTACTATTTTCACAGTTTTATCCTGGTTCATCTCTCCGGCACTCAGTGGTGCAGTGTCGGCAACATTGTACTGGTTGGTGCGGAGGTTCATACTGCGTGCTGCGCAGCCGCTTTCTGCGGGACTGCAAGCTTTACCTTTCTTTTACGGGGCAACGATTGCTGTTAACGTGATTAGTGTATTCCTTGATGGTCCTAAACGTAAGTATGTCTGTTAAATAATTACGTGTAATTGTTTTCTTACAATTAAATTGGACTGAGAAAAGTTTTAATTAGGTACCTAATAATTTATTTCGCAAACAAAAATGAACTTATGTGTTTCAGTATTAGCAATGGATAAAATACCTTTGTGGATAGCTTTGGCCGGCTCTTTGGCTCTTGGCGCTTTTGGAGCCATATGTGTCCGTGCCCTACTGGTACCATATTATCGTCGTCATCTCACGCCACCACCAGTCAATTTTACCCTTGGATTATCTAATGGTAATTTTTTTAAATATCTCTACAGTAACTTAATTAAAATAATATTTTTTCAATTTAATTAGGCAAATCAAACTTATGTAAATTTTATATCTATATAAAATTAACTTGAGTTTATTTTTAAAAGTAAGTTTTTACTAACCAACTTCCAAAAAGAAGGAGGTTCTCAATTCGTCGGAATCTTTTTTATGTATGTTCACCGAAGTTGTTTCGAAGGGTATACTTCCCAGGTGGTCCCATTTAAATTTTATCGAAATCGGTTGAACGATTTTTTTAAATCAACAATAACTTTTTTTAACTGCTTATTACGTCTAGGCTAAAAATGAAGAAATAAAAACTTTAAAAAAATAAAGAAAAACCAACTTCTAGGCACTAAAATGTAAAAAATAACTAAACGGGGGGTTTCATTTAAAATAGATACCTAATCAAATATTTTCGAAGTCGGTGCTAGCCGACAATATTTTAAGATATTAATATCTAATAGGTAAATATGATTAGGTATGCACTCTAATATAGTTAAAATATTATACCTACATCAATTTGTGATGTATTTTACGTATCGAAATATATTAGATTTGCTTTGCATCGGCTGGCACCGACTTCGAAGATATCTGATTAGGTATCTATTTTAAATGAAAGCCCCCATTTAGTTATTTTTTTTAAATTCTAAGTATGAATTTAAAAAATTATAGAAAAATATTATTTTTAGTTCACAATAAAATTTCAGAAACAACACCTGCTAACACACCAACACATACTAAAAACAGCATTCCTCAACGTCCAACATCTTTACTCTCAGAGGATGGCAAACTTCTAGAAGCAATAGCTGAAAGTGCAGAAATGGTGACCTTAAGCGACGCAGATAAATGTTCCGTCGGTGTTAAGGAATTGAATGCCAGAAATCGAGCACTTCTCGCGACTATGGACGATTGTAGCATACTTTCTAGAAGCTTAAGTCCGCCAAATAAATCACGGCTGCAACTCATTGATGCAGATCCTCAAATAAATACACTTAAATATATAGATGAGACGTTAAGTTGTTGCAAGAGCTTAGACTCAGCCCAGTTGGTGGGTATGGGGGAGAGTTACGATTCAAAGAATGGATTTCTGGGAGATTCTTGTGACACTATCGCACGCGCCGAGTTTGGACGATTATCAACCCTAAAATCACAACCTGCTGCTGTAGAATTTGACACACCTCCTCCTAGATTAGATAAGGTACGAGTATGTTGTATATTAGGATATTTTATATATGCAATTCATGCTTTCTCTCAAAGAGTAAATAGTTTTTACAGATATACCTACCTACGATTGAGAATGATCCATACATATTCATACATCATAAAAAAAATTCAAAATGTCAAAAAGTTGAAAATTGAGGTCTTTCTGTTATTTAAACACAGTAAAGTTAATATTTTGTTTTTAATCAACAAAGTGAGGATCTTAGACTACTACATTTACTAGTAAAGAAATAATAACATATAATAAACAAAGATTTTTACTATACAATTCAGGGTCCAGAAGGTGGTAGCGCATGGAGTATAGAATGCGACATGCGGAACACGCGTCTGGCTGCCATTACTCCGAACTCTAGTGCGGCGCCACTCCTGCGTGGAGCGAGCCCCGCACCGCCCGCGCCTCCTCCTCCACCACCTGACACTCTCCGACTTTTCTCCTTCTTACAAGTCCTTACAGCGACTTTCGGTGCATTTGCGCATGGTGGAAACGATGTCAGGTAATTTAAAAAGAATAATTTGCATTTACTGCAGAATATGAGTTTACATAAGTTTTCATACAATATCCAAGTTGTGATAACACGTGCTAGCCTAATATAAAATATTTGCTATAAGCCTGAGTGGCTACACATAAAAATATTTTACTTGATGAAATTAGACATATAAATTTGGAAAATGGGCGATACGTTATCGCCAATTAAATATTATTTATTAATAAGTTGCATATTAAATATTTGCTAGGTTAACTGCCTTGGTGGTGTAGTGGCTAGCATGTACGGCTGCACACCCGGAGGTCCTGGGTTCGAATCTCGGGTCAGGCCAAGTTATTATTTATACCAACAGTAGTTATTGAGTCTTTCTCTATAGTAAGCCTCAGTCCCTGGCCGGAGTGGGATGTTGGCGGTGTTTCACCCCCGTGCCTCGGAGAGCACGTAAAGCCGTCGGTCCTGCGCCTTAACTCTCACTGGTCGTATCGAATAGTCGTCCCACCGGAGAATGAGAGTCACAGAGTTATAGGAATAGAGAGTGCACGTTGTGTCTGCGCGTACACTTGTGCACTATAATATCTCCTGCGCAGTTGGCTAGTCTCAATGAGATTGGCCGCCGTGGCCGGAATCGGTCAGGAGAACATCATCATCATTTGCTAGGTACTCCAGGCGCTGTACAAATATGCAACTCGAAAATATAACTTTGTAATAGGTACAACCTGTACGAATATTAATAAGCGAATATTTTATCTTCCTAGCAATGCTATTGGGCCTCTCGTCGCTCTCTGGCTGCTGTACTCTGAAGGCGGCGCACACGCTCGAGCGGAGACCCCGCTTGCGATACTTGTGTTTGGCGGAGTGGGCATCGCGCTGGGGCTGTGGCTGTGGGGGAGGCGGGTCATTCAAACTGTGGGTGAAGACCTTACCAGCATAACACCTGACACGTGAGTACAAAGATTTTTTACACCTACGTTCTTTCGAGAGTCTCTAAAGTCATCACGTCCATCATAATACACGTGCCTGTAAACATTGTCAATAGCACAAGTGGGGCTTGATTTCATCATCATCATATTATGTTAGTTATAAAATTTTATTCCTATTTATATTTTATTAATTAAACTAGCGACTCATCCTCACTCCGCTCGGGTACGTCCCTACTTACGTTTTAACATTTAGTATAGATTTGTCTGAAATGAGATATTTTCCCGCAGTAAAAAGTATCCTATACCCGGATAACCAGCTATCATCATAAAATTTCATCAAAATCCCTCAAGTGGTTTTTCCGTGATGGGGTAACAGACAGACAGACAAAAATTCTATAAATTATAGATTCGGCCTCTGTATCGATAATAATGTCTAGTTCAATTAGATTTTCCAAAAAAGTTTTAATGTACAGATTCGGTTTATAATTAGCTAGTTACAAGTTTTATATATATATATATATATATAATATATATATATATATATATATATATATATATATATATATATATAAAAATAGGTTTCCAAAGAGAATTACTTAATAAATTGGTTTATTTTTATCCTAAAAATAATATTGATAATAATTAAAACCAAAAACAAGATATTGTTATACAAAAAAAAAAAACAATAATAAAGCTTAACTAAATATGTTTTCTTTATATGAAAAAATAAATAAATAATGCCTCTGTTCATCTTCTATAAATCCAACCTTCTTAATAAGAATATATTAATTAAAATATTAATATTTAAATTTCTAGGGGATTCACGATCGAGCTAGGTGCAGCGCTCACCGTATTGGTGGCGAGCAAGGCAGGGCTTCCTATCTCTACTACTCATTGTAAAGTCGGCTCTGTGGTTTGTGTTGGATACTTCTCCGACAAAAAAGTCGATTGGAGTTTGTTCAGGTTGGTCATGTTTTATATTCTCTTTCAAATAAACGAGGTTCAGTCACGCTATTTGTAAGGCTATTACAATATTTGAGAAATTAGTATTTTGTCAAAATGGCAACAGAAATACTCAGTGTCGGATTCAACCTTAGCGCCGCCCCTGAGCACAGTAAAAAATGCCGCCCCATTATCGAAATTTTTCATAAAATGGATGAAGTTTAATTTCTTTTAATTATTCGTTTTTTGAAAAATGCAAAAAAATTACAAATGTTTTCAATTTTTCGAAAAATGTACTAGTATTTATTTTATTTTTCATTTTTTGGAAAATACAAAAAGCATTTTTGATAATATTTCTATAATTTTTTCGCACCTTCTGAATTTTGCCGCCTCTGAAAATTTGCCACCCTGGGCATTAGCCCCGAGTGCCCCTAGTGTAAGCGCCGGATATACTATAATAGTAATTAAAAATAATATATAATAATAATAATAATAAATAGTATTTATTGCCATAAAAACAGTAACAAATGTTAACAGAATCAGTAAGGCTTAAAGTAACTTATGGCAAAGGGTAATAACTCAGCTAATGCTGCTAAGACCTAAATCTCAAGCAGCGCTGATTTTCAGTTACACCCAGCTCCCTAGGATGTTGAGCGGGAGCAATGCAAGAGGACTATTCCTCCAGTTAACCTCTACAAGATAAAAAAAAGTAATGAATATAAAAATAAAATTTAAAAAATAAAAGTATTTGTGCGCGTGTGTATGTTTGTGCGCGTGTGTGTGTGTGTGAGTGTGCGTGTGAACGAATGTATGTGTATATTAATGTATGTACGTGCGTGCTTGTATGTGCGAGTAAATAAGAGTACAATAGGATGAATGTATAATGGCTTATTAAAGCAAGTATCATGATTATTATTAAAAATAATGTTTTAGGCTCATTTCTACTGTATAGTACTTCAAGTTTTCTGCAGCAAGTTGCCTTTTTAATAAGGCTTTTTTGTATAGTTTCCTAAAGCTACTTGCACTAAAAAATAATATATAAAATAATAATTAAACAAAATGTAGCTTATGTTTAGGAAACTTTTTAGATATCAGTTCTAAACTTCCTCTGAATACATTTTTAAATAGTGTTTTTCATTTATAGCTTAGGGTTCTCTATCGTTATCATAATTTATCGAAAGGAGTTTATTCCACTAAAAGCACGACAGAGTATGTATGTGTGCTGAGACGATATCGGGTCGCACCCGACTGTCTTACGTACTTACTTTTATATGGCAGTCGAGGGACGCTATTAGGGTTGACGAGTATATAGCTACGAGATCGCAAGCGCTTCACCAAAGAAATATTCCCATGAAAAATGAAAATTGATATTTTTTACAATCCTTGCAGGATTTCCGTTAAGATAAAAGATTAACAACTTTTGTATGAATATATTAATTCTGAGAAGAGCCTATTCTGTGTGCTAAATATATGTATATGCATAACTTTATATGAAACTAGCATTGCCCGCAGCTCCGCCCGCATTCACATGACCAAAAAACAAATTCTTAGGTTTTACTTATTAGTATACTCTTACAATGCAGTTTTTGTATTTTTTCTCAGAAATGAGATATTTTCCCGCGGTAAAAAGTATCCTATATGTTGACCCGGATAACCAGCTATCACCATACCAAATTTCATCAAAATCCCTCCAGTGGTTTTTCTGTGATGCGGTAACAGACAGACAGACAAAAATTCTAAAATCTATAGATTCGGCCTCTGTATCGATAATAATGTTTATTTCAATAAGATTTTCCAAAAAATATTTAATGTACCTACAGATTCGGCTTCGTTCTAATTTTATGATATGTGTAGATTATTGAAAATAATTCACCATTTTGATATCTTCATCATTGATTTGCATTGTTGCAGGAATATAATATTCGCGTGGGTCGTGACCGTCCCAGCTGTAGCAGCAATGGCGGCGCTCGCTATGCTGGCTTTAGAAGCGTTTGTTGTGTAATTCTATTACAGGCTACTGGTATTATTTCTTTACAATCATGTACATATTAAGTATTATCAGGTCTTTAGATATTGGAACTTAGACTCAGCCATATTAAACAATATGAACAAACGTAGCAGATTTTGAGAACTAAAGAGATTTTGTAGTGGTTTTACCATTGAGAACCTATTTGTTGTTTATAAGACGATTATAGCAGGAATTGTTAATAAATGTCGATGTAGAATTAAACATTAATTTTGTAGATCTTAGTTTGAGAAAATAAATAGCAGCACTTAAATCGATGCATTACACCCAAAACATTATTCGTCTAATATTCGGAATATTATAGTTTGTCGTTTTTTGGATATAGATGTCGACGTTTTCTTGATCTCGTAGAGGTTATATGTAACTACACGTACCTGTATATAGGTATAGTATTTACTAATACTACTTATTTTCATCAATCAATATCTTACAGTATTGTAGCCTGCACTGACGCTACAATGGGGATGAGCTTTAGTGAAAATGTTCTGGGCTTTATAATAAATCAAATTTGGCACAAGAAATATCCAGGTCTTTTCTTCTAAATAATGAATTGTTCTTAATTACATTTGAATTTGTATGTATTTGTGGGTATTTTTTAAGAATATTTTATTTAAGAAAACCCATCATCTACGTAATTCTTACTTAATTCTTATTATTATATAACTTTCTTTTATTATTTTAAATTGTCAAAGTATTTGGTAAATATACAAATTAACTTCTAATATTGCGACAGGAAGTTATTTAATAATTGGGCTTAACAAACAATTATATTATGAAATTTAAATCAAAATAAAATATTAAAAAAATCTGACATATTTGTATCAATCTTTTTTGGAACGAAGTTCCTTATCGCATGTTACTAGGCACAATTGGAGAACGAGAGCTAGACGGAAATTATAGTAAAAAAAAAAAATTTTTTTTTTATCTCAATGCTATAAAAAGACGAAAATAAACTTTAAATAGAATTAAACGCATCAGTTTATTACTTTATACAATTTACATAATATAAAGGCGAAATTTACCTATTTTATAGAAAAAAAATTTTTTTTCTGAGAATTACTTATGTCAAGATCAAGTTACATATTGTATTTTGTTTATATACACAGGTAAACCTCGCAACAAACTTTTCTATACTAATATTATAAAGAGATAAAGTTTGTGAGTTTGTGACATTGTAGGGGGTAATCTCTGGACCCACTGAACCGATTCAGATGAAATTTGGTAAGAAGATAGTTTTGGTAAGCAGTTTGTGACCCTGGGAGAGACATAAAATACTTTTTTTCCTGGAAATCATCCCTTATGGAGATGCGAATGAGGATGAAAGTTTGTATAGGGAATCAACCTAGGGACGAACCTGAGCGAAGCGAGGGTGAGTCGCTAGTATATTATAAATTCATATTTTCAACCAGGCGATCATAAGTGTTAAGGGAGTGTACCTATGTAGTAAGGGCTCTACATATATAATTAGTAAAAGTATCAGGCGGTCATGTGTTAAGAAATGTATGTTGTAAGTAATTAGTATGCACTCATAACAGGCCTTTTTTCGATAACCTTCAACATGTGCAATGTACGTTGCTTGATATTTATGACACAATACAATTTTCAACACCTTATTTATGAGCTAAAGGCTGACAGCGAAAGGAACTTCGCTCCTACCGGTTGTCCCACGACACCCCCGGCTTTTTCATACTTTTGCTGTATATTTTTATTTAATTATAAATCGATAATTTTGACTAATGCTAATATTCTGTCTTAGGAACAAGATTATTGTATAATATTTATAATATTTGGGTCCACTTTATATTTTGCGTGTTTTGAAGGTTTGTATAATTTTAATATCCAAAACACACAATATTCTTGGGAGATTTACAACATTTATATAAATTATACACTAATGTCAATACTCGCTCAATTTTATCTTCTAATAAATAAGTACTTACATCTTACTTGATGGATAAATTTTAAATATTTACTTGTCATTCATTAACAACTCTATAGAGGAGACGGGTAATATTGGGCCCAATGGTTAATTAATTGAAATAGATATCTACCAATAAATATTTATCTTTTGCTATCACCTGGGCCCAGAAATGTGTAAAACCGTATTTTTCTCCTTTTAATATATGATCAAAAATAGGTATCTATCTGACGGCTAAAATATTTGAATGAAGTTTGATCTTGAAAATGTTTTGTGTACATATCCTTTTGTAATACGAAAAATATAAACATATTTATAGCTGCATAGCATTCCCTACCTTAGAGCTTTAACCTGTGATTTCTTTAGAATTAACATTTGTATTATTGTATTATGTCCTGTTGTTACGAAAATTGTGAATTAAAAATATAGTAAGTACCCTACCTTCTTACAAATAACGTGGGAAATTTCACAAAATATTTTCAGCATAAATAACTTGTTTGCAATAGTCAGTGCTTGTCGAATATATTGATTTTATATTTATTCTTACATAAATTTTGCGTTTTCTATTAAAATTAAATTTAAATAATTGTGCAGGTTTCAATGGAGCAATTTCTCAAGATCCTCTTATAGACTACTATATAGAAAAGATGACCAGTATTCCCGATGAATGCTGTTTATTACTATATGCCACTCAGTCTATTTTTAATTCTTTTTCAGAAAATGAAAATGGGTGCTTTTAAATAAAATTATCTTTTCGATTTTTTTTCTGGATTTTTGGTTCCCGACGTTTCGAATGCTGTCGGGAACCAAAAATCCAAATCAATCCGCGAATAAATCCGAAAAGATAGTTTTATTTAAAATGTCAAATATTCGCGTAAATCTAAGTATTGGGTGGGTGCTTTTAAAGTTAAGTCAAAAATCCATTTTTAGATGTAAAATTATACTTTGAACTGTGAAAAATAAAAGTAAATTTACTTAGGAAGGTAAACGATGTCGACGATCAAGGAGTGTCTTATAATAACAATTTATGATGGCAGTGCAGGTATTAATAGTGGATTTTATATGTTAAAAGTTACATCTCTTGTCAATTTAAGCGTATGTTTAAATGCCACTGATTGTGTAATTAAAAATATTGTTAAATAAAATCCATAGATACAAATGATGTTTTTATTTATTTATATATTATTAAAAAATATATGATGATGATGATGATGATGATGATGTTCTCCTAGCCGATTCCGGCTACGGCGGCCAAAAATATATATTAATATTATATATAATTAAATAATATTTATTTATATATTATTAAGTACGTTTCATTTTTTTTGACCGGAACCCTAATTCTTTTTCTAAAATAAGAGTAGCCTATATTGCTCACTATAACATCAGCTATCTTTCAGTGAAAATCCCGTCAAAATCAGTCTAGCTATTTTAGAGATTATCCGGAAAAAAACAGACAGACAAAATATTAAAAAAAATGTGTTTTTCTTTTATGTACCGTATATAATTTCATATGCATTTAGTAAAACGCTGTTATTTCGACCTTACAAACAGACACTTCAATTTTATTATCTGTATAGAATAGCGACCACGGTAATATTAGGTACATACAGTAGTATTCCATCTTCATACAAACGGTCGGAAATCGAGTTATACCTACGCGCGTCGCATTCGGTATACACTCGGTAGACAACCGCGCGGGGCTGCCACATCGTATAATTGGATACGAAAATTGTATATGGTTATGTTATGTAACTTTTATAATTTGATACAAAAAAAACATGTTATTCCTCCCGTAACTTCGCTAATGTCAAAAAAATCGAGACATCGTACGTTTTAAAAATAAAAATTAATTAATTAAATATTAAAGTATTTATAATTAAACTTTTTATCCGAATGCGGATTCTTTATACTATTAAATTAAACAATAAAGCTTTTCGTACACGTCTCAGTCGAGGCGCAAATATTTGTCAATCTCAAATTTATAAGGGTCACATACCACCCCTATAAATTTAAGATTTTTTAATTACTAATAATAGTTTTTACATAAAAAATATAATATTTGAAATCACAAAATTAGAAAGAAACTCAAGTAGGTAGATGAAATTAAAATACTGGCTGGCGGGCACTCGGGCAGCCCTGTCGCGTGGGTACGTGCCGCTCGGCTGTAGGTAATTATTTCAATTTTCAAGGACAGGCCCGAGTTGGAATACTGTTTGCATTACATTACCGTGGTAGCGACTCACCCTCGCGTTAATTACTAATTTATACGTCAACAGTGTGTTATTGGACGAAATTATTTACGTAAATTAAAATTTGAATATTTATCTATTTGTTATTAATTTATCTGTATTTATTTTGATTATTTTATATTATAGATCAAACGCTACAAATTGAAGTAGTTGATTACACTCTTAAAATAAAACGAGGTTTATATGACTATAGCACACTATATTCTTACCAGCTATTTGGTAGTATTCAGCCCTTTTTAACCTCCCATTGCTGGGCGCGGGCCTCCCTTCAATACGAGGGGAATCAGGCTATTTGGTAATAAAATTAAAAAAAAAACACACGCAATATATAATACGTTTTATTAAATCAAGCGACATATTGGTTAGTAAGTGCTCTCAGGAGTCTAGCACGTCGTATCGCTGCGGCTTCTCTTTGTATGTCCTCACTGTTATTCGCGTTTAGTTCCAGGGCGCCGGCCGCCTTGACCGCGCGCGCACGTCTCCCGCCCTCACCCCTCCTAGCGTGTAGCGCCACTGCGACCTCTAAAAGAGTGCCATCCCATAGACACCCATAGTACCCATCCATTGCATCTACTGCGTTACCCGTCTGTCGATTGAGAGTTTTGTTTGTTATTCACCATGTCCACTAAGCTGTTATTTATAATGGCGTAGCTAGAATTTTTTTGGAATAGTCAGTGTGACGAATACTATGGCACACGCTTTTATAAAAAGTAATGATGGAAGCGCTACCGATTTGTATAAGCGCAAATGGTTCCCAGATTGACAATGTTACGAGTAATTGTAGTGCTATCAGTTTGATCAGCTATAGAAACAAAAAAGTACAAACAGATCTATCCCACGGGAATCGTTCATTTTTCCGGGATAAAAAGTAACCTGTTGTTTGACTGCCAATATAAGGTATCAGCATCCCTACTAAATTAGATTATTGTTGTGTGCTAAGCTGTATAAGTTACTATAGTTTTTAACTATCCCACGGGAACTCTTTAATTTTCCGGGATGAAAAGTATCAAAAATGTTGACCGGGGATATAAGGTACCACCATGCAAAATTTTATTTAAATCGGTCCCACAGTTTCGGGAATTAGCCCGTGCAAACAGACAAACAGAGAAGCCAAAAAACAAAAAAAAAAATGGACTTGTTCTATTTCTCTTCTTACATACCCCTGACTCGGATTTTTGCATTTTTTTTTCTATGTACAGTCATTCGACCTCTAGAGTTTTATTATATGTATAGACAAGGAGTTTTGACACCGATACCCATACAAAGGAATACCAGACCAATACAAATACCAATCATAAAATGTCTATATCATCAAATACCTTTTCAGCGAGACATTTGAAGGCGGTAGGGTAATCAGGTTCCTCTGGTAGCTGGCAGAGCGCCACAGCTTGCGTGGGCGCGGCCAGCGCCTGGCAGCAGCGCGCCGCGCGACGCGCCAGCGCGCCCTCGTCCGGCGCGCGCTTGGCAAAGTGCCATGTGGCCGCTGCCAACGAGCACAGGTAGCGACGGAGAGCCGCCGCCCATCTGCCACATGCCATCTCTACATCGCCGTAGAGACGCAACCTGGGTTTTTATGATAAATTGTTTATTTAGCAGAAATCTCTATATACTATCAAGTATCAACTAATGTTAACCATGCCAAAGCCAAAGCTAAAGTGTTTTTTTGGGTAAATCTCTGATACTGAACGGATTTTCATATGGTCTTTACCGATTAGGAGAGGAATTATCTAGGAAGATTACAAGCTAAATAATTGAACATTTTACGAAAATAAGCTACCGATATGATGATATTTGTAGATTAAGTCAAAAATGTCGTCTTTTCTGAGAGTTTTTATATTATTATAAACGCGAAGAGAATCCAGGGTCTAATATAATGAATCATTGAAATTAGAGAATCCCTGGTCTATGCAAAAAATTGTGGACGTCATTTGGGTGGCCGAGTAGCAGGATGGAATGACTACCAACAAACCGTTATTCACATTGATATTCTTACATATTGTATACATTTTTTATTCGGTCTACGTAGGCCGATAAAGCAGCCAAGCAGCGTGTTTTCTGTCTACTCGATTTACTGATACCCTCACTTATTATCATCTCCTATAATATGTGCTAGGGCATTTTAAATCTACATGGGATGGGGCGCAGAATACGGTTAGGCCGAGGTAACGGAACCAAGGGTGGTTTGGTCTAAAATTACCTTATAACACAAAATGGTGTTTCACTTACCATGACGTATTATATGGATACAACTTCAAGCTCCTTTCCAGTAAATCTGTCAAAGACTCCAGTACGTGTTTTATGTTGTAATTGTTCATATTGGATATATTGGATGGCCACAGGTTTGTATATTCTACTACCAGCTCCAAGGAGCTATCGTCTATAAGTAGGTTATGGATTCTAGCTAGCAAGGACATCATCACACTGACTGCGAGGGGCTCGCGAAGAGTCGAAAGAAAGGCGTTGAAGGCGTTACGTGCTTCAGCCGCGTTTGTGTCCCGTGAATGTGAAGGCGCCCCACCGGCTGACCGTTTAACAGCGCCGTTTGATCCATTGCTATATATCGAAAGTGCTGAAAATCGAAATTTAAGCATAATATTTAGATTACTGTAGTCATTATGAATTAATTATTATTAATTGATTTTTTGTATCAACATTTGTTGATTTTTTGTTTATGTATAATTTGTATTGAGTGGCTGTTCAATACATGAAATATGTACATAAATATATATTTAAATTTTCTCATAATTTTTCCTGATTCCTACTTACCATAGTCCCACAATGGCCTGGGGAACTTTCTAACACCTTTCCCTCTTTGCAGCTCAAAGCAAGCAGCACACAGAGCCGCGGCCACCTCCCCTGGTCCATTCACTACACCCGCCCCTTCCCACTCGCAAGCATTCACTAAGCAAATCCAGCATGCTTCAATGACCTGTTCAAATATTATTATATATAGCAGAATTTGAAATATTTATATTTTTTTAATTTTTTTTAAAGTTATACCTATAAATTAAAAAAACCTTTAAGTGTTTGTGTATTGCATTATCGCGTCTAAACTACTGGTAAACGTGATCATAGTAAAGGAATTCATTTATGGATTTACTAGCGGCTCACCCTCACTTCGCTCGGATTCGCCTCTAGGAAAACAAAAGAAGACCTATCCCACAGGAAGCGTATATTTTTCCGGAAGAAAAAATAGCCTATGTATCATTCCAGACTATAATCTATCTCTGTGCCAAACATCCAGATCCGTTCAGGCGTTCTGGCGTGAAAGAGTAACGAACACCCATACTCACAATCTTTCACATTTATAATATTATAATAAATGGATTTTCGAGAGAACTTTGAGCTGGGAGTTCCCAGCGTAACTAGAACATGATTGTTATGATTATTTGATTTATTTAGAGAAAATTATAAAAGATATTGATTGGCTTACTTGAGGTCGAGGAACGATACTGTCAGTAGATGTAGCCGCCGCTATACATGCTTTGCATTTATTAGCTAAGACCGTCAAATTGATACGGTGATGAGGCCACTCGGACATCACTACATTAACTTGAAGTAAAAGCACTTCCCAGGATAAGTGGCGACAGAGACGGTATAATGTAGGGTCTGATCCACCACCTAATTGACTTCTAGCTTCCCCTTCTAACACTGAAAGCAGAGATAAAGCAGTTCGCGCACACCCTGCCTCTGCTCGAGCTCTAGCCGCACCCGATACTACATATCCAAAGTCTTGCAAAAATCCTCGTGGTAAAGATATCAAAGCAGTCTCTAAACCACCAGGAGGTTTCCATGAAGGACTAAGTTTCCATAAAGGCGAAGAAGGCGCCATTGTTGCTAACTTTACTAAGCACATACGGACATCGTCCGCCGTTGATGCCTCAATTAGGCGCTTTTTCAATTTCCCCATTTCCAACTCTGGTACAGGCTTGAATTCAAAATCGGGCGTTTCCCAATCATCAGTTAAAAGTTCTCTTGGAAGATCTATGTTTTCGTCGTCTATGTTATTTGGATCATTTAATATTCGACTTAAATGCTCGTTAGATATTAATCTTTTTCTTATAATTTCTGCTGATTCACCGACATATTTTTTTAGGTATTCATCTATTTTGTCAATGGGTATTTTGCACTGTGAAGTAGCCAGATGGAGAAAGAATATTTTAAGCTTTTCCCAGTCATCGTCAGATAGATTGGACGTTAACACCGGCGCTAGAGCCCAAAATAGTAAATCGAAAAACTTAATGCCCAAACTTTTAAATTTGTTCAAAAAGTCTGGATGTGTAGAGGGTATACCCCCTTCAAGAGCATATCTAACTGCATTAAGGGCTGAAACTCTATTCAATAGATCTCTAGCTACTGTAAACGCTCCACTCGAAGCAGAGCCTTGAATATCAAGCTCCACAACCTCTCTATGAACCATTGGTATTTCTCGCACCAGATTATCTGCCTGTAAGATAGCTATTATCCCTGTGTAATGGTTAGCTATTGATTCTTGAAGTTTTTGTAAGAGTGTTGGTTCCTCATTCAAAACTTCGTAACCAAGATTCAATGCCCTTATGTAACCTAAAATGTCATCTTTAGTCATACTTGCATAGTAGAATTCACCCCATGGCATAGTTTTGTGTGTGCCATAACCAGAGATTGATATTTCTTTTTCTAGAAGGTCTGAATTCTCCCTGCACCCCAAAATATGTTGTTTGGCTAAATCATGCTGACCGTAAAAGAAATAGTTGTAGCATAAATCGAAATGTATTTGCATGGCTAGTTCATACTGGCTTATAAGAATGTCTCCAGCATCCCAATTGTGATTTAGTTCATCAGAATCTTCTGTCAGATGAGCAAATGCTTCCATTACGGGGATTTTAATTTTAAGGGGTTCTCTACGACCTAACGTAGTGTCGTAAAATGATAACACACTGTCTAGGTATTTAATACTTTGCATACGTGATGCTTCGCACATTCGCAAGATTTTTTCAAAATTTTGATTCATTGGGTTGTAGGTAGTATCTCCTTGCATTCCAGGCCTAGGAATAGAGATTATAATTAACTAGTAGTTTTTGCTTTACGACTAATTTGCAATCTACATCAATATATACTATTCAGGGATATAGCTTTTGAATAGATGATTTTGAGAATCAGTTCAGTACATTGTGAGATCATTCTATTACATATACTTCTACACAGAAACATACGAATGAATTTTATCTATTTATAATAATGTAATATTTTAATGTTTTCTTTTAAGAGATGTAGCAATTAGTAATATTTTCTGTCACTGCATATTATTGGGGATATAATGTCTTCAGGAGACAATATAAATTTTAGTTTATTCTTTATAACATAACATTTTCAGGGAAAAAATATTATTTTGTTATAATGAATGAATATAATATTTGGTATATAAGTAATGTATGATTATAATAATATGGTCACACATGACTCCATGGTATCCCATACATGCTATGCTGCCTTGCATATATTTATGTTAATAAAAGTAAATACTTTCAAATTTCGTTTTTACATTATATTTTATGAATTTTAGACTGTACATTTTTATTTTTGTTAATTTTTATTGAAGGATGTATACAGACGGAACATAGCACGTATTTTGTAATTTTTTATTATAACAATTTTGTACCAGTACTGGGGCATGCATTTATTATACATTGTTCTCTATTTATACATGCACATTGCACTTAAGAATTTACTTGAACTTACATATGAACTAAAGACATTTTTGCTGATTTGGAATATAGAGCAGCTTTGACTGGAAATCTTAACACCCATCTATGGTATAAAGTGAGGGCAAATTGTGCCTGTGGTTTTTGTAAGAGTTCTGGTGTTGTTTCCTGTAAAACATCACATAAGTTTTTTTTGATATCAGAATTTTAAAATTAGATAACAAGAGAAGTTTGTAGAATATCTTTAGATACAAGGTAAGATAATATGAAGATTAATTAATAATATTAAAAATATGTACTTTACTTGTTGTCATTTTATTATGTTTAACATACAATTTTAAATTAATGCTATGAGAAAACTTTTTTTACCTGTGGTGGTACCGCAAAAGTAGTATCTGTGGCCATATAAACCAGATCTTGCATTAGATGTTGTTGAGTTGGTGGAGGAAGCTTTCTTTCAAATATATCTGAAATATAATATTTAAAATATTATATTTAATAAGAGCTATTTATTCTTCATAAATATTTCATGAAAGATTATTTACAATACATACCTAAATTCCAGTTTAATGTTGATGCAACTTTTAGTGCAAGGATTTTTAAAGCAAGTTGTTTGCGTGTGAACTGTAATGTAGGAGTGCTCGTAGATGGAGGACTAGGAGGTGCATCAACATCAACCACCCGTTCACTTGTTGGTTTCGAGTTGGCATTTTTAGTGTCTACTGTCAGGAATTCTTCTATTAAGTCACACGCTGATGGCTCTATTGAGATAAATTAGTCATATTAAATATTTATACATATATTGATTATCATGTAAGAAGGTATATGATTTTTATCTGACCTGGGTTGGGTTTACTTAAATGTTTCTTCAATAAATTGGGGTCTAATAAAAATTCAAACCAAAATACTGTGTCAGGGGATATGGGCACAGTGCCCGGTCGTAGTAAATCTACATCCATTTGGGCAAGTATATATAAAATAAGTATTTCTGTAAGATTTTTTGTGTTTTGTATCCAACAAGACTGAACATAAGTTACGTTACAAGTTGATAATGTTAGTAAGAAACATTAATAAAAGGACTAAATAAACTTATCAATGTTTTGGCAATCTAAATTCTAAACTTGAATAAGCAGGCAATAAGCATTTTATTTGTGTCAATATTCCATTAATTTATATCAAAACTGTCAAGTATCAGCTGTCAAGTGTAAAAGGATATTAAACTGACAGATAATGTCAAACAGCGCCGCATACAGTTAAAAAAGACATTTGCTTTTTGTCCCGCCAGATGTAGCGATTACTATAGTCCTCAGTAAATTGTAAAGCTCTATAGCATCGATAGATTTTTTTTTTCATTTTATTTAAAATTTAATTAATATGACAAATTATGCAGTCCCAGTATGCAAAGAAAATGGATATCATTTGTTCCCAAAAGACAAAACCTGAAGAAATTTTGGGCTATAGCAATAAGACGACTAAAATTGGTGAAATCGCAATCTTTATATTTAAGACTATGTGGACATCGTTTTAAAGAAAGTGGTTTTAAAAATCTTTAGTCGTCTACAGGTGAATATATTTTTTCTACTATTTTGTACTTTTTTTACATATTATTTATAGAGTTTCATACAAACTTTCATTATCATTTTATCCCCTTATAGAATTGAATTTCAAAAAATATTAAAACGCGTATTTATTTAATTGTATAGAAAATCATTAATACCAAGTTTCAAGTAATTTTGATCATAACAAATTCTTTGCCCATATAAACTTTATTACCACCTTTTACCCCTTAAAAGGGATGAATTTCATAAAAAAATCTAATAAATATATTTCTTGTTTTTTATCTTAAAGCTAAACACCACTTTCTGTCTATTTCACATTAAGAATGACAGAGTTTCATACAATCTTTAATCCACTATTTTACCCACTTAGGTGATGTATTTCGAAAAATTATTTCTTATTAGATGCCTACATCATATAAGGAATAAATTCTCCAAATTTCACGTTTCTACAACCAGCGGGTTAGGCTGTGTGTTGATCCATAAGTCAGCCAGAACTACCGTAGGATGCACTTCTCCTTCTCAATTATTCCTCCAACTAGTCTTACTTCGAGGAATATAATACACTGCACAGGTAAGATGCGAACACAATAGAAGCAAAAAACCAGGTATAAAAGAGATATAAAAATAAATAGCATAACCTCAGACTGAATTTAAATAGGCCATACGTGTGGCGCCCTTCTTTCGAGAAATCTTTCCCACTTCTATTCTAGTTTTTGTAAATATTTATTCATTTGTCCAATCTAATATTTAAATTTAAAATATTAAATAACTTTGTCAATATGAATAACTAAAAGAATCCGACTTTGCTTTGAATAGTTTTTAAACGTTAAAAAAAAGTTAACTTAGAATTTTGAAACAAATCAATCCATTTTATTTAATTTATAATATTGATCTTTGAAGGTTTGTTTTTGCCTGATAAAGTGACAGATTAATAAATGCAAACACGTATCTATAGTACTTTCTGTTTGTACCTATTGCGTTCAGAGTTCAAATTAAATAATCTCCTTATTATATCCGATATGATCCATGCGCCATCTATCGTTACTAGTCTTCTGGTTTATGTTAAAAATATTTCTGAACATAAAACATCTTACCATCGTTCATCATCAAATCCCTGGGCAAATCTCATGACCACCGATAGAAATTAGAAATGAAAACTTTACGAACACATGAACATTAACATTTCATTTTTTATTCATATAACAACATCTTGTACTGCATTGATTCTAGGCCCTTGATCCGAGTAGAGTGAGATTATCATAAGTGTGCTTTGTATTTTTCAGTTAAATAATTGATAATAATTATTAACTTTTCGTTTACTTGATATTTTATTATTTTACATATTATTTTTCCCATTTGGTATTTTGGCGCGCTTCGCCATTTGACGCCTAGATCTACCGCGCCTTTCGCTCTACCTTAATAGCGCGCCGTTAAAATAAATAAGTGATGATGTTCTCCTAGCCGATTCCGGCTACGGCGGCCAATCTCATTGAGACTAGCCAACTGCGCAGGAGATATTATAGTGCACAAGTGTGCGCGCAGACACAAGTGCACTCTCTATTCCTGTCACGCTCATACTCCGGTGGGACGACTGCTCGACACGACCAGTGAGAGTGTCGGCGCAGGACCGACGGCTTTACGTGCTCTCCGAGGCACGGGGGTAAAGCACCGCCAACTTCCCAACTCCGGGCTGTTACTGAGACTTACTATACAGAAAGACTCAATAACTAAACTTGGCCCGACCCGGGACTCGAACCCAGGACCTCTGGGTGTGCAGCTGTACATGCTAGCCACTACACCATCGAGGCAGTTACTAAATAAGTACAAAATTATTTTACACATTCAGTTCTTGTTGCCGTTTATAAAGAACGTAACTTTTATATACACAGTTTTCGACGACTCTGTAGTTATTGCCAAATTCAAAAAAACTAAAATACATTATATTGTAATGTAGAGATTTAATTTAAATTTAGTCATATATCAACAGAATAAGATATCTTTGGAAGCTAAAGCGTATCCTGTGCCATTTGTAAATAAAAAAATGTATTTATATTGTATTGTAAATTATTGTATGTATAGAAGTACGAAGAATTAAAGATTAAGCTAAGTGCATTTGATCCATGCCCTTATCTCTGTAGGTACATGATAACCATTGGATATCGACTTGTTGTGTTATCGTGTTATTGACAAATAGTAAGTAGAGCGGCGTTATTCGACGTAAATTAAAGCAATCAAGGGCTAGTGCTGTCTACTGTATCTAATTTAAAAATTGTGTGAACATGAATATTAAAAGTAATATATTTTAGTATATTTTGTGATAAATAAATTAATAGGTATATTAGTGACTTATTGTTGTTGTGATTTAAATAAGTGTACTAACATACACAAGTAAGTAGATACTTCTTTGTAAATTTTAGAGTTAACAGAAGTACTTTAAACCCCTATTTATACTATTTCCAAAATATTTGAGTTTTTTAATTTGTATTAAGTACCAGATAAAATTAAATTTTAATATTCTAATGGCTAAACAAATGTGAAACATCTACTATAGCTGCGATCGAAAAGTAATTTCATAGGATTATAAAGTGAATATCGATTTATAATCATATACCTACCAACGATACGTACGTACGATAAAAGCATGAAACTCCATGAATTATAAATAATATTAGTCCATGTTATTTCAGTAAACATTCACAAACGTCGTGTGTCACATATTAATTTTAAAATGTTAAAAGTCGTGTGTAAGTGTAATTAACGTTTTTATTGCTAGATTACGTTGGTATAGCATTAGTGGTTAAATATATTAATAAATATATTGCAAGGGCCCAAGTGACAACTCAATTTTCGGCGACAAGTAGCTGTGTAGCTAGTAGCTCATTGGGTAGTGCCATGTTTAGTATTTACTATAATATCAATTATCAAAGGTACTCGTATATCTATTTCGCGATGCGTTATGTCAACTTGTATTCCTGGAGTTGGCGTCTCGGGTTCAAATCCCGGGTCGTGCTTTTTAGCAGTCTTGAATTTGGAAATTGGTAGGTAACTTTTATACGTATATAGGTAACTTTTCCACTCTTGTGCCTAGCCTTCACATGTACTCTACCTGACACATCGGCCTTGTGAGTTATGCCTTCATCGCCTTTTCGATGAGTTTCCGTTCTACAGGATTACTAGAAGAAATAGTGTTAAATTGTTATTGTACTTTATACCATACTTGTGCACCCCCCTATAGATGGCTAGTCTCAATGGTATTAGTTACTAAAGTGAACTCTTTACCTCTGGTCTTATTATTATGAATTTTGTAAAGTTATTATTTTGAATAACTCTATATGTACGTTTGAATAAAATTTATTTTTTTAGTGGAAACCAATGCGTATCACCAAATCACGCAGAGTAATGATGTGTGCATTGAAATGGACTTATTGCGGGTAGGCTCCGAACCTGTAGGCATGCGATGTCCCTATTGCCAGGAAGACATAATGACTCAAGCCAATTACAGAAACACTACCATCACTCATATTTTTGCTTTAGTACTTGGTATATTTTTCTGGTAAGTCTATTTGGTCAACGGTCATGTTTTTCAATAAATATAACTTAATCTAAAATAAGTATCCTGCCCGTGCCAGATGTGTAGGTATGTGGGTAAAGAAGTAACTAAGAAAGTTTTATAATAAATTATTTATACTTAACTTAAAGTGTGTTCACATTTTAAAAAATATTTTACTAAATACTTTTATGTCCGAATTATTAAAATTAGGTACGTACTACGTAGTACATATGGACTTATGTACGGTATGGTAGTCTAAGAACAACTAATTTAATTAGCAGTTTGTTTGTCTAAGATCTAATTAGCCCTGGCTAGCTTTTTAGCTGTAAATAATTTATATGACTACTCCCGTACTTGATTTTACATCTATACATGGGCGTACCCAGTTTTTGGTCCAGGGGGCGGGGGGGCGGTGATCAAAACAGAAATTTACCAGCCCCCCCCGGTCCCCCGTGCTTGTTTTTCCCTACAGACTATATGAAGACAAAAAAATCCGAATGTCCATTTTTATTTAGCGGACACTTTTTATTATTGTTCAACAGGTTGCACACTGCACACAATTAGTGTTGCCCAAACGCAAGAACAAGACGAGACTTAGCCAGTCTTGGTCTTGGTCTTGCGCCAATACACCTGGTCTTGGTCTTGGTCTTGGTCTTGCGCTCCCAGTCTTGGTCTTGGTCTTGGTCTTGCAGCAAGAGTCTTGCAAGTCTTGCAATTACCTATTAGTCTATTACTATTTATTAAAGTTTACTTTAAATCCTAGAAAAACGTATTAGAATTGGAACATTGTGAGCTTGAATGAATATAGCCATAGTAAAGATCAAGCAGATTAATAAATAACTGAAGATTTGATAAGAAATTCGAAAAATCAACTGACCTATATGTCGTTTTCCATGGAAGTAACTGTTTCTTAATAAACATTTATGATTTATAAGCTTACATTTGCTAAAACATGTAAAAAAACAAATTAATTACAATAACTTGACTGTATTTTAAAGAACAATACTTATCTGTCTAAAAAGAGATTGAACCCTCAACTTATAAGAAATTTAATAAAAGAGTTTTACGATTTATCATTTATTTGAATAAAAAATAAAATACAACACAAATCAACAGCTTTATCATTAGGTTATGATACTTTATATCAATTTTTTTGACCAAGAATTAATACAAAGTAACCATCTGGCTGACTCATCACTTAACCTATTTCTATGTTTTCTAATTACTAATGATGCTTTAGAAAATAACCTCTCAGCAGGTACTGAAGTTGCAGGTATTGAGAGAAAATCACGGGCCATTTTCGATAAAATCGGATACTCTGTCTCATGCGTCCTCCACCAATCTAAAATGTCTTCCGAGCTGGCAGTTCTTGGTTTTCTCAGGTACTCCTCCAACTCGTCTATCACTAAGCCTTGAAGACAAGATCCAGATGACGTCGAGGGACATTCATAGAGTTTATCAAAGTCTATTACGTCTTCATCTTCATCACATACTTCATTTTTTTTTTCTGGTAATTCCAGAGATTTGTTCAGTGAGAGTAGACTTTTATATTCTTCATAAAGTTCCTTGAACTTGCGCAGACTTTCTGTTTTAAGTTGCTTCCCCCACATTGTCAGGTCAAAAGTCTAAGCCTTATGCCTTGGGTCTAAAATTAAAGAAGTACAATAAATCCAGTTGCTCTTCTTGTAATGTTTAAGCATTTTGTCTCGAGCTGCTTGGAAAGCTAGAATGAGCCTTTCATCCACTTCAGATCGATTAGGTTTCTCATCTAACTGTTTTACCATGGATTCAATTTTATCTAGCAAGAGATTGAATGATACAATGACTAGCGGTAATGTAACATATTTGTCTCCACCAAGTTTTGTACTTAAAAGTTTAAAGTTTATTAGAAATTTATGTAATTTTTCGAGTACCTGCCATTCATTAGCTGTGATTTGAAAATCATTTAATTCGGTGACAGAACTGCACAATATGTCAATGCCCGCTCTCACTTTTAAACCAAATCCAATCATATCATGTGTGGAATTCCATCTCGTTGGACAGTCAAGAATGGCATTTAGATTTGATGGCACGCCAGCTGCTTCACAAGCAGACTGAAACTTCTTCTTGACTATCTCACTTCTTTTTATTTTACTGGAAATACTGCGTAACTTTGTTACAGATGTACGCGAGTCAGCAATATTTGGTGCAGATTCTTCATCTTCCTCATCCTCAGTTTCGTCTGCATAGTCTTCGTACTGCTGATCTTGCGCGTTAGTGTCAGACTCACAGTGTAATGCTAAGGTCTTTAATAAATCTTGTACACCAAGGTTTAAAATGTGAGCAAAGCACCGGAAATGTTGATTGTCTGAATCAAAGTGTGGCGGCAGCTGTTTGCCCAGTTCATACATAAATTTGGTATTTGCAGTTGCGTTGTCGACCGTGATACCTTGTATTTTATCAATTATGCCATATTCCAATAAACATTCATGGAAAATCGTTGCAATATCTTCCCCAGTATGTCGACCGCGTGATGGTATAAAATCAAGAACTATAGATTGATACTTCCATTCGTTGTCTATATAATGAATAGTAACCCCGTAGTAACTCCTACCAGCAATTGACGTCCACCCATCAATGGTAAAAGACATTTTAGATGATAATTGTTGAAGTCGTTCCTTGAGATTCAATTGGAGCTCTTCAAATCGCTCTTTGACTTTCCTTCTAAGTGTAGACCTTTTAGGAAACACCATATTAGGGCAAATACGTCGAAAATATACTTGTGTAGCTTCGTCATCGAAAAATGAGAAGGGAAGATATTTTTTCACCACCCAATCAACTGTAGCTATCGTGATGTTGTCACTGCTGTTTTCCGACTTAAACAAAACAATAAATCTTGTATTATTATTTAAAACATACTAGGTTTGAGCGTATAAGAGGAGGAGGTTTGTTGTTGTTAAATCGAGAAAATCGTTAAATTGATATTTGTTATATTAAGGTTGCACTGTACTGTAATTTACCAAAATAAAGTACTTAGTTGTTACTGGCCGATTAAATGAAAATATGGGTGTTTATAAAAAATATTTATGACGATAATTACATACTTAATATGTCGCACCCCTAGATGAAAACACCACTAACTCAAAAATACACTGATAGAAGGATTTTTTTGTACCTAATAAGATTTGTTACCAGTTAAGAAATGATTTGTTAGAGAGAAGACTCCTAATAAATATTTATTAGCAGTTAATAAATCATTTGTTAGCGGATATTTTTTACTGCCAACAAAATATTTATTAGTATGTAATAAATGATTTATTGACATATAAAAAATAATTTATTAATATTCAAAAAATCCCTTGAACATTACGTTCATTGTTCTAATTATTACAATTACAGAGAATTAGAAATTTTGTGAAACGAATAAAGTTAAAATATAATAAATAATGAATTGATTAATAGTATATAATTTTTTTTTATGACAACGGTATACATTTAAAATTAAAATAATCACTATTATAATCGATACGTTGGTATTCGTATACGAGTCAATAAATCAAATTTCTTTGAGATATTACATAAGAGCCATCTGACGATACATGAATTTTTAACGGTTTAAAATATTCATCGAAAATTGATAGGATAAAGTTTTCTGGATCGTTTGCTTTCGGTAATATTAATTGATAGCTTTTTATATGGGGATTGAGTCCAATAGTTACACATTTTTTGGAAGAAATATGAATAGTTTTGCCATCAGATATAATTGCAGTAATAAAACCAAATACATGATTATTCTCAGAGTCATTGGAAACGTGGAAGGCATACGATGGCTATTATATATACATACAAAGCTACGCATGAATGCCGCCATCTATCAACAATGACCACAAATAAAATATTTGTTAACCGTAAACAAATCTTATTTGGTGGAAATAAATAATTTTTTCAATACATTAAAGCTTTTTAACAGTAAAAAAATTTTTGTTTTAATAAAAAAGCGATTTAATTAATCCTAAAAAGTGTTGGTAACAGTAAAAAAATATTTCTTCCATCCAAAAAGATACCTTAAAAAGTTTGTAATAAATTGATTTATTACTCCCAAAAAAATCCTTCTATCAGTGTACTTACGTAAGTTAATGGCGTTTTTGAAAGTATCGCATGAATAGCTACGCGGAGTTAAAATTCTTTTAACTGTTAAATAAATATTCTTACCTGTCCACTTCTTCCAGCGGTTACTAAAAAGCTTGTGATATCTCCACTGAATTTTGGTTTAACAGGAAGAAATATTTCTGATTCCTTTTTATGGAAAGATATTAGATGTTTCCTTAAGCCTTGCCTTCTTGCTTCTTGAAGTGTTTCTGTTTTTCATTTTTATTTCAATTTTTATGTTGGCACAATTTACAGAAGGCAGTTTGGGATGCATGAATTATTTCAAAAAATTCCTCAAATTTGCTTTTGGGTCTTTTAGATCTGTGACTCAAACTCTCGTTACTCGGACTAGAATAATTTGAATCTTCGTCACTCATATTAAATTGTACACGTGATACGTTTTTAGAAAACAACGAGAATTAGTAAAAACAATTATTAAGTTAGACTCGAAGCACAGCTCAATTGGAAATGACTGGAATTAAAATAATTCCTTTATTTATAGTAAGTTTCCTTGCTTTCTACCGCGCCGCCTCGCCACGTGCCGGCTCTATGATAAGGATGCCGCCGCAAATCAAACAATAATATAAAGCGTGTAAAAAAATTCGAAATTACGGCCTGTCCGCACTGCGATATTTCACCGCACGTTTTTATTCCCGCAATTCTGTAACACAATGAATCTTATAGGAGTATCCGCACTGGCGGTTAAAAATTCGCGCGGAAAAAAAATCTGTGATTTGATGCAAATTGAACGCGATGCGGCGCGGATTATTTCCGCGCGAAAGTTTTGTACAGTATATAATATGTATGGCTATGGCCGCACTGCGAAATAAAATTCGCGCGTTTCGCTCAGTCGTGCACCGACGCTATTGGTTTAT